TCAATTCAGAAAAAGCCGATGAATTCTCAGGCACGCCACAGAAGCACGACCGACTATGATAAATGTTCAAGCATTTTATAGAAGACGGTCGATGTTGATCGGTGTTCGCTAAACAGGGATCAGACAGTCTGGATCAATGTCAAAAAGTGCCCTTGAAATAGCGCGAGCCACTCTCTTGTTTGGAATACACCTGCTGAGTTCTTTGCTGGAGAGTCTTTTTTCAGCACTGAGGCACTTCAGCGGGGACAGCAGTAAGGTGTAACGGCGTCAAGGCAGGATTCCGAACATTACGGTACATAACTACTAGAGCTTCTGTCTTCTATTGGTTACCCCTCAGAAGAAACCACTTTTGATCGGTTTCTTGAGGTCTTTTCCAGCAGCTTCGTCCCCCACAAAAGAAATCGTGTTTCAAAGAAGCCACTTTTGATCTGTCTCCTCAGACGGTTTGTCCGGAGGAGATGTAATGTATTTTTTCCGCAATGAATATGTCGTTTCAAAATACTGAGCAAAAGTGCTCACTCATTAGTGAGACTCTCTTCTGTATCTGAAAAAAATACCTGAACATGTGTCACCAGCTGCAGTGTTTTCATGGAGGGTGTGTATCAACACATGCCTCATTTCTAAAGTACGCTGGATGCCATTCGTGTAAGCACTATTAAAAATCTACCTTCTAAGGAGAATGATTTTCTAAATTTCACATCAAACTGTTTCCTGACGATATTTCAGTTAGTTTGTCCTCGAGGCAATTTATTTTGTTGACTAATCAGGCCCTAGCATAGTGAAAAACGCAAGTGACAACAGTCCTTAGTAAAGCCTTCTAAGGAGAGAAACGTGATGGTCTGCCTGCGGAGAGGTAGTGGAATTGCCAACTAAGGAGGGCACCGAAATCCATGGGAACGAACTCATCGAATCGCATTTTTCACACGAAACGTGATTTCTCAGTGCCAGCACTGAGGGTAAAACTCGAATATTCGGGCTTGCGTATCTTGCGCTGAAAGCTTTCCTTTTTCTCGCTTCTGATCAAATTTTCGGTACACTAGAACTCCTTAACCAAATATTTACTCTTCAGCGCACTATACACCATTATTATATTTTCAGTTTTATTTTTAAAGATGGAGGACAAAAATATGATATATGCTTGAAGTAACTGTTCAAAATATTGTCATATTGTCCTTTCCCACATCACTCTTAAGGAAATTGCCAGGAATTTCTCCAAGGCACTCGAGGGCTACCATGTCACACTCCCTCGGCAAAGTTTATATGCATTTGTCATAGGAGAATGCACTGTAATGAAGCCTCCACGGAACGCACTTCAGTAGGTTCAAATCCGTTTTGATAAGGTGACTGGACCTTCTTGTCTCAGAGGTTTTGTACGCTTCGGTATCACCAGGCCTTCGGTACCACAAAAGTTGTTCCATGGGTGGTGTAAGTTCTTCGTTCCGAGAGCCTGTCGATGTGGAAATTGCTTGACAGTATGCAGTTAGTTTTTGACAAGACGCATATATAGGTCAAACAGCGGAATGCTGCTTCACTGGATGCATTCGAAGTTTCTTTAAAATTCTAGTCCAGAGGATATCTTTAGTTTCTCCGAGCCGCTGAATAGTTTTCAGCATCGTTTGAGGACTGGAGTTATTTTTGGAAAAATTGACGCCGTGCTATCGTTAGATCTTTGTCACTGATGTGAAGAATTCAGCCAAGTTATTGTGAAGCAAAACAGGCAACCATATTCGTCACACGACGAGGTTAAAGATATCACATGTACAACTGTGCGTGGACTGCAGCAATTCCAAGAGGCCAATGGACCGAATTCACCATGATAACGGGAACAACAGTTGTGTGGTCCGGAGATTGAACTATTTTCAATTAGGAGTTACGGTTGACGGTGATGGCTCCCAATAGGGTTGAGACCGTTGGTGGGCTGTCAGGTTATTTGAGTAGATTATACAAGTGGTATTGGGTTCTGGTGATCGCAACGTGGATAGCCAATCGGAAGAAATCGAGCTTCAATACTGTTTGAAACTGCCGTTTGGAACTTGTTTACTGATTCATGGATCTGATCAATCAGTACAGTTTGGAGCCAGATGGCTCAGTGGTTAGAGCGCGAATTTACTGACCGGAAGGTCCGTGGTTTGAGCCCAACCTCTGCCCCTCGACTTCCCCTGTCTAGCGTTGGGTAACATGGCAGTATCCCAATTCTCGTGCTTCGTTTGGGTGGCATGGCAGCTAGGCACCGAAACAGTGTTACAGCTGAACGACTTTTAGTTCCACGAAATCGGTCCCTCAAACCAAATGACACTTCCGATTTGTTTCAGATAGGAGAAAAAACATCTAAAACTCGCGAATAAAATAACCCGTCAGACGTGTTACACTGTATGGTAATATTCTGTGGCTCATGCTGCTCATAGTCGATAAGGCACATCGCAATTTGGGCAAAATACGTCTCATCACTTATCGCATTCCTTGCAATATAAAGTCCAATTGAACTCAGCAAAATAAATGTAATGGGAAGTGAACAAACGAGAAAATGCCAGGGAATGAGCAACCTCATGATTACTGTACGGGTATTGTGGGAATTTGGAAGACAAACCATTAGGCATTTTATCCTCAGGACCGAGCTGCGTTTCATATGGAAACATTGTAATTTGGTAGCCCTTTTGAGGAATACCGTGATCTGAAGTCGTATACTTTCGCAATTTGTCCCCCATCCCAAGAACCTCACGGCCTGGAGTATGGTTCGTCTTCTAGGGAGGACAGCTGCGGGATAGAGCTTTTCTGGCAGACACCCACAAACTGAAAGTAGTTTCTGAGGGACATCACCTGTGACAACAGTTCCGCGAAGCGGTGACGGCCAGATGATTTCACAGTGCATGTGTAATCATTTAAGGGTACTTCAGACTTTGTTGTTAACGGTTGAAAAACCAAACCGATTCGACTCAGATTGAGCGGGCACGTTAGGCCGTAGAAATGTGCCAGAGGTCGGTGTGTCGGTCGTCCATGTTCTTCAACCCGTAGCATTAGTGAGGGCCTGTTACAGTTAGAGAAGGGTCATACTCACCTGCTGCGTGTGATTACACAATCCAACCTTGCCTGACCACCCGGATTGGCAGGAGCACGCTATTTGCTTAAATCAGTTTCTGAATTTTACCTGACTGGCTAACCGCAAATGAAGCCGCAATTTCGACCCAACTAACAGGCGACCTGCTATCACCCAAAGGGCAAGTGTGTTGTTCAGTTTGACTTTGTTCACTTGTGCGTACGCTTGACCACAGCAGTTAGATCATCATCACTAGGAGTCATCAGCTTCCAGCATGTTGGCTCATCCCATCGCGACAGGCAGCGAAATCACCCAGGATTGTCGTGTAACCGATCGACAATTCGACCTCTTTAGGATATGGTAGCTTCTCTGCTTAAGATAATCGAGTTAGATACTTCGTGCATCTGTCAAACATCTACACCCCATCCGTAAGCTTATTCGCTGGTTTACAGCGGAAAGGGATAAGTTAATTCCAGAACTGCTTACCGTGAAATCAGCACTTCTCTGGCTGGAATCAACACCTCTTGACGCGTAGCTCATAACCCTGGGGGATCGTTCACTGTAATGGCCACAACACAGCAGATCGACTAGGGTAAACTCTGTCAGTCTGGAGGCGGTTCTTGCAGTTGACAAGATCCAACCACACCGAGATAGTGAAAGCCGCAAAGAAGTCTTATTTCTGATAAAGCTTTGCTTTGACACTATAAACGTGCAAATGCTCTCGTGGTCACACAGTGCAGGCATCTTGGTCACGACCATGTTAATTCAAAGTTGAAGTATAGCGTAGTCAGCTTCCTGTCCTTTTCTCCCTGAATAAGAACACTTTCTCGTAACTATAAGGTAAGCACTAGCACTGATAATTCCGGAGTTGGGTTTGAAATTCCGACCGAAGATTTTTCGTGTACAGCTCACACAAAAAAATCGTGCGTTAGCAGAAACAACGTCATAGAAGAATAATCTCATGAAGTCAAATGCGCCTTGCCCGGAACTGCCATCTGAGTACGGGTTAGCTGCTCGCACGAGATGCCAGGATATCAGTTATAAAGTTGGGTTTACCAGACTGCTGAGAAGCTGTTCAGTCTAGTGTCCAGATACCTTACCAAAACTTGCTCGTCCGAGTACAAATTAGAATGCGCTACATGAAGCAAAGTACGCATCAAAAGCAAGGTAAAACGGCCACACATTCAGACTGATAAACTGTGTTGGACAGAGAAGCTGATCACTTGAAACGGAGAAAACAGACCAATTCCCGACCACCCCTTAGTGACCAATAGCGGAAGTGAAACTTCAGCAAAACTATCACCAGAAGGGAAAAAGGCAGCACATCCCAATATCTGCAAGATGGTAACTCTCAGAGTTTCCAAACTGACCAATCAGTCTTCGAAAAATGCAAGAAGGTAGACCTAGTGTGAAGAACCCATAGAAACAATGATAAAACCGGGTGGTAAGAATTAGTTCACTTCAAAATCACACTTGGGGCGCGCCGGTGACAGAGCTACCATTCGGTGACTGCATTACCAGGTAGTACCAGTGAGGTTTACATATTCTTGTGAGTTGGATTACGAGTACCCTGTGCACGACCAACCTGACAAGTCATCTGTATACGGATTGTGTACATCCACACACACGAGCAAGAAGCCAACTGTGAACACCCCACTATCTGTCTGTCAAAAACAAACACGACGAAAAGTAGAAAGTGTAATGCAATTCCGTCTACCCCATACAAGTTTCGTAGTTCTGCGGGCTGGAAAACAAACTGCGTTGAAAAAGGTTCATGGAAATGCAGAATATTATCAGCATTTCGAAAATGAGGGGAGAATGTTCCATAAAACCCTATGAATTTATCTTGCATAAGCGAACTGGTGGAGTCGGCAGGCAAAATGAAAATGAAAAGAAAGGCAGAGAACTCAACAATGTTCTTGATAGTGCGTGAAGCGAATAAGAACTCAAGCAGAGATCGAAAAAACTATTTGTGTCCGGTGGCGGAAGAGGCGGTGTCCATTTCAGTAGGCCATCGGCTGAACCACCAACACAGAAATTGGTACAGTCGTGGTAAACGAATCCGCTTGATCGGAATGCCGCCAGAGTCAACAGACACGGGAGAAGACGTTGCATCTTCAGGCGTGGTTGCCACAGAAGGTTGAACGCGTCGATAGCGACATCTCGACAGTGCGGCGGTTTCGGCATCTTCAGCAGTAAGATCGGTGTCACTGCCACCACCAATAGCTCCATCTAATTCGCCGTCGTCGCTACCCGGTTCAAAAATAGGGTACTGTCTAAGACTTGCAGCAAAACTTTCCTGAAGACGCAGGATCGAACGAAGTAAGTCAGCGGTAGCCTGTGGGTCTAAGCGTAACGCGGCATTTGAGGGACATGCCAATCCCCAACTGACCGACTCTGTTTGTAGCCGCCACAGACCTAGGACAATCAAGTCATCCGAATGGCCAAGGGCTCGAGCGTTTTCAATTGGCCAGCCCTGAGGTGATGGAGGTGAAGACATGATCCGAGCGATAGCTCGCAGACGATCGGCTAGTGAAGCGAACCCTGGAACCGCTTCGTGAAATCGATCTTCGGCAGAACGAACAGTTGGTGGACTGATTACCCCAGGGAGTGTGCATATGGACTGGACGAATCCCGCAGGCGCCAGAGATTTTCGAGCCAAAGGGAGTTCGGATGCCAATAGACGGCGGACCGCAAGATATAGGCAAGGTAGGGATGGAACAGGTTGCACGACAGACCCATCTTCAGTGGCCAGACTGAGTTCTGCAACCGAAAAGGCCAGATGGCAGGCCTCAGGTTGATCAGTAGGTTGCCAATCTCTTAACCCAAGACCACAAGCTGGACAGACAGTTTCATCACCTGATCCAGTATGGAAGAACCCAGCTGAGGCTAATTCGTTCGGAGATGGATGGCGCACAATCGCTTGGGCACGTTGGTAGAGTGCTGAAGGTGGAACGGAAGCGGACTGTGTGGATTCAGTGGGTGAGGCCTGTTGATCCGGAAAAGACTCCAACCGTGCGCGGTGTGACGCATAAAGAGGAGAGCGGGAGTAAATTTGGATTATTCCAGCTGTAATGTAAAAAGAATGTTACAGTAGAGAGGGGGTGAGGGACAAGTAAACTCTGAGAGTGCAGGAATATTGCAAACATGAATAAACTTAAAAGCTGGGAGAATATCTTGGCTAAATTATGTCGATTAGCATTGTGGCAACATGCAGTTGAAATCTACCAATGTGCTTCCCCTAAGAGAACTGAACTTCCTCTACAACTTGCTGACTATTAAACGTTTTACAAGTCAAAATTTGGTGCACCATGAGTGACCTTCATCAGGAGTAGAATAATCAGTATCATAAAGGGCAAAAGGAGCGAGGGTTGACTGGTGCCTGCCGCGTTGTTCCAAATGAATGCCTTATTTATAAGAGATGACCGCTCTATATCTCGTTCCCTCGGGCTTACACGTGCAATAGCTTATTTCACGTAGTACCGCAATCCACTCAGAGCAGAAGTCTTCTGGTTTACCTGGTGTGCGCATACATCCAGTGGATCAGCTAATGTTAACCGGCAAATCCGTTTCGTATGTTAACCAATCATATAAATCTGAATGGCGTTCCAGTTTTCGCGGGATGGCTCAGTGGTTAGAGTAAGAATTTACTGACCGTAAGGTCCGCGGCTCGAATCCAACCTCGGCCTCTCGCCTTCACCTGTCGACGGAAGAAGTCAACCTCCTGAATCTTCGGACGAAATTTCAGCTGTCCGTCTATGAGGGGCGGTTATAAGCAGACTTGGCTCGAGAGTCAGTACTGCAAACCGTATGGGTCGACGTGCGTATTGAGCATGCAGATCCGCCGGCCTTTGGCACTACTACTAGACTCCGGAAGGTTGTGTACGCCGTACATCGCTCAGGAAACCTGTCCGATTTATTCAAACTGAAGGGTTTAGATAGAAATGTGTAAGTTAACTACTTCCGTCCATTTGAACGACTAAACACAAAATGTCATTCCCACTAGACCTAAACCGAAAATGGCTAAAATGGTTTCTGGACGCAGAGCTTCCCCAAATTGGAACTTTCGACCACACAAATCCCCGTGTTATATGTGATGTCATCACATAAAAAGGTTCTTGAGGCACTTATCCATGACCCAGAACAACAGGTGAACCGAAACTTCACGAGAGGCCATTTGCTTCAAACACACAAGATTGTGATACACTATGAAGTCATAGTTCTCAAAAGCTCATTCTGTAACAATCGCGACCTGAAGAGAAAATGGACTGACTATGCCGGAATAGTTCTACAACCCGTCAGCAAGCAAGTCTGGTCAGTGTATGGAACCCGGAGAACCTATATATGTATTTTGGAAACCACACTGGGAATCCGCTCGTACAACAAAATTGCGTTAAAATTCTGGCTATGGCATCAACACAAATTTTATGAACGGACCTGAACGAAAATGCAGATATTTCAAACTTTTCGGTTCAGCGAAAGCGCACTGGAGTTTACGATTTCCAGTCTGGAAGTAACGAACTTTTATACTCAGGCACAAACCAAATGTATTCACAGCAAAATTTTACTGGTCTGCAGCCACCTCAGAAAGAACCACTCATGGTGACCAAAACTCTCGAAGCAAGTGTTTCCCCACAGTAGAGTACGATTTAGCAGAAATTACATACAAGGGTGGAGATCTAAATGGACTTCGATGCGGAGTATCTGTTCTGAAAGGTCCTACATGTATTCACCTTAAAAACAGCCTTGTGCAATGGTAGCAATGAGTGGATACGATGTTAAGATTATTGCCTTCAAGGGAAAAGATTCTTCAACGCAAGAGAAGCGCTTTCTACAAAAATGATTTTTGCGCCTGTACATCTGCTGACCCTCAGTGAAGACAGCAACACTAGCCTAATTATTATTGGCACATGCGCCAGAGGTCGTATGCAGAATCGCACTTTGGATATCACTTTTGAATGGTCCCACATTTATGATCGCTGATGAGTGCGCTGAACACACCTGAGTGTCTTTCCAAGCTTTCAAAAACGCTACAGAATTCCAAACGCAGCATTCCATATCGGGATGTTGAAAGTACGGAAGTGACAGTATACCTACTTATGCACATACAATTCTTACGAAAAATATGCATGGGTCATCAAACACTAGTGCGCTTGAGCTGTTCATAGAACAACTAATTTTTTTGTGACGTCAAGAGCTGCATATATGGTGCTATGTAATTCCACGCTTTTAGGTAACATAGATGAAGTGAGACAGGTCACATTTCATTGCATAGGAAAAGGTGGATATCTGGAATAAAGAGCTCGTTGTCAGGCATCCTTGCAAAGTACAAACGAATAGCACGAAAAGATAGAAATATTGTTGAGTCAGCTTCCGTTTACAATTTCGAGCTCAGATCCCTATTTTTTGAACGAGAAGCAAGAGACTCGAGAGAGAAATTTAAAACCAGGAACTGCAACATCCCTCTGGGTCAGGAGTTGGTACATTTAGAGATGGCGGTGTCGCGTGGCTGCCGTCGGCTGCCCATGGCGTCCGACTACGAATCCTAGGAGCTCAGTTGCCTACCTGGAGCGCCATCTCATGCTCACCACGGTAGTCCCTCAGGTCAAGTCAGGGAAGTGACTCGTTACAACTTCCAAAAAATATCGGCGTATCGTCGAATCGCACCTGATATCTCAAAAACACTGTTTGGAGTGCTACATGATTTTGATACGTTGAGAATGACAAAGGTGAACGGCCATCAACGCTTTTTGGTAAGCCTAAACTGTCAAAGGCGGTACAGGCGAGGTCTACCACTGACAGTTGGACGCATATCGACCGTGCCTGAAAATCCGCTAAACATAAGTGAGATGTGAGCAGGAAATGTCCACGAAAGATAACATTGTACCCGGTGAAAATAAGCTTCACAGAACTGCTCACAGCCGGACCAATCTGTTTCACCCACACACCAACCTCCACACTGAAATCTGGGCGCAGGGGAAAGCGCCAGTCAGGTGATCTAGGTCAATATTTGTGCTGAAGTATTCACTTGATGTAAAATACCTTTACAAGTGGCAAGAATCTAGTACCTTGCATTGTTGATGGAGTCAAAGATCGAGAATGGTCATTCTCGGTTGTCAGAAAAAAGGACGTTGTTCCAGCATGTTTCAGGGTGAATCTTTGGTCAATGTACCAAAGCGAAATGCAGCCCGATTCACACGGATCTGCTTTTCCTAGTGCTCAACCAACCTGAGCAGGATGATGTCAAGCAGCACTCTGGATACTACGGTTACGTGATTTGTCACGATTGCTCCGGTCAGCAAGAAGTTCTCGTACTACGATTCTGGCGGGAGTCGTGAATATCCATTTCGGCTGATTAAGTTTTGAGGAAGCTCATTTTGGCTACCGATTCAGGGTGGACGCTCACCGCAAAAATAATGAGGAACAACTCATGTGCTGAATACCACTTGCTCCTAGCTAGCACAAGCACTCATACCGTATGACTGAAAGGTTACACACTGAAAACCATCCGTAAACTCGGTTGGACCATGTGGCAATCAGCTACCTGTGGGGAGCTTCGATAGGAGACTGTTGCTCATTGTAAAGTACACCATTTTACTCCGATAACGAGCGCGTATCTATTTTCTGTCCCTGAGAAAAACGCCCATTGATGCAAGACCATCCAATTCATCGTCAGCTAATCCTTTCTGTAGCTAAACAGTATGGATATGAGCTGGCTGAGAAGCTTCCCGAACCCGACGGGTACAATGGTTGTTATGGCGAGTTGGATGACCATTAGAGAAAGGCAAATGAAGCCATGCACATCGCTTTTGAAATCATCTGCCCGAGGTCATTCGTACACCTCACTGAACTCTGGATCTTGTTAAGATCAGCGAATTTGATTAGAGCTGGGGAAAACTATACCAGCAACAGCGTGCGGATCCCCGGAACTCGAAATAATGCAGATCCTAAGGATTGACAGAGAACGCTGGTGGATCGCAAAGGCTCGGGGAAAAGTTTCACCCTGTTCCAGTTATTCCGATTAACCGGTCCGAAGAGAGCAAATGTTGGTGGAACTATCTCTGGAAATGAAGGGACCTCATTTATTCACAGAATCGTCTTGAACGACGGGATGAAAACCATGAAGAACAGTTCAGCTATGCCCCCTCAACTCACCATCTGGAAAAACTGAATGTACTCGAGTGGGAAGTGACCATCAGGCCGCCGTTTTCGACAAAAACCCGGCGTGCAGTTCCATTGCTTGAATGCGACAAAGCAACTGATTCAGACATTTTTCACCCTGTACTTTTCAATAATGGCAAAACCGCCGTGACTACTCCAAGGCATCTGCGATAAACAGAGTTCCAACAGAGTGGAGAACCTCGACGGTGATTCCCAAAATCAAAAAGGATGCAAGAATACTCGGGGAAACCACAGGAACATAAGTTTATTGGCCATAGCTTCTAAGTGTTCTCTATTATTATCCTGCGAAGGTTGATCCTTCACCAAGAGAGTCATATTCGCGAGAATAAAGCTGGGTTTTGTCCTGTCTGGAGTCGCACAAATCATATCTTCACTTTGCGAAACTCCTTCCGACGACCAACAATCACCGCCCTTCTCCATCTCAAGTTCGCTTTTCACTCGACCGTCTCTTATAAAGTCCTATTTCTTATGAAAAAATCTATAGGCCTCCTTCCTTGGACGCGTGGGCGTCTACGGCAAACACTCTGGAGTTCGCCACATTTAGTGGCTTCAGGCAAGGATGCCCTCTGCACTCCTTGGATCAGACCCCTTAGATGTGCACACTACACCAAACAACCTAGATAGTTCGGCGGCACAGTTCGATAAACAGTCTGCACCTGTAAAGTGTACGGTGCTTCTAAAAGACTGGATCTGACCAAACCCGAACTTCATGCTTGCATGTGTGGCAGATAGACACGTTTATTTGGACAGCTACATACGTCCCGGCGTACTCGTTCAGCTGTAGCACCATTCCAGCGCATATCTGCCATACCACAAAGGCACGAAGGCCGAGATAGTGTCAGGTTTCCCAAGCCTAGATAGGAGCAGTCGAGATACCGGGATCGGGTTCGAACAACGGAAATTGCTGTCAGTAAGATGGGGCCTTAACCACAGAGCTATCTCGAGCCCATTCGCCGAATCGGGAAGGGCAGGCCAACCTCTGACATATAGCGCCGATGTGAAACAGCTCGACTGTCAAGAGTAGAGTGTACATCATAGTCCGATCTGCCCTACTTTACGGACCAAAAACGCGGAGGACCTTTAAGTGCTCTGTGTTCGACCATCAGTGCCTCCGAAGATCAGTAAAATTGACGTACGTCAGATGGTTTTCGTAAAAGACCACTCCCACTCGATCGGCCACTTGGTCACACTATACAAGTTGCGCAGAGATGGCTCAAGCGGTTAGAGCGCGAATTTACTGACCGGAAGGTCCGTGGTTCGAACCCGACCTCTGCCTCTCGACTACCACTGTCTAGGCTTGGGCAACCTGGCAGTACCCCAGCCCTCATACCTTCTTCGGGTAGCATGGCAGCTAGGCACCGATAGGATGTTACAGCTGATTGTTATTATTATTAGTAGTAGTAGTATTAGTATTACAGGTTATGCAGCTTAGGCCATTTGCTTGGCATGTCACATGATCATTTACCTCAAGGAGCTCTTCTCGCCCAGCCTTGTGTCAGATAAAGACAATTCAGATGCGGTCAGTCCATGACTTGGCAACGAAGCATGAAATTCCTTACCAGTCGACTGAGCTGCGTTGGTGGCTGCCGTCTCCCCGGATGGGGACCGCGGGATGAGAAAAGCCAATGATTAGTAACCCTAACACGCAGACAACTGCGGTCCAGTATCAAAACTATCACCACTGTGTAGCCTTCACTTCCTTCCATGCTGGACAAACATCGATTTGTCGTTAGCACACAAATTAAGCCGACGCCACCAATGCATGGTGTTCGTCCCCTTCCCCAGCTCCTCGATCACAAAATCGTAGCGGTTAGAACCACCAAACTTCAAAGCGCGCTCTGTAAGTTGACTGACTGACTAAGGCTATTAAGTGGATGCCGAACGCTGTCCTCGGACACAATAATCGCCACAGAATCTTATTCAGTAGGTATGCTATGGCTACTGCAGGAGCTTGGTAAGGTTTTTACGAGCTTTTTCATGTTCAAAAAGCGCAAGGGGTAATGCGTCCGAGCCGAATGCCATACCTCATTGTAGACATGAGATCCAGCGTTGCTGACACGGATCGGTATCATCATCATCATCATCATCAACGACAGCATGACATCAGTGTTCAACACCAATGCTTCACTGCCGTACAGAGTGCAGGTGACTTTTCGAAAAACTCATGTTGCTGAAGACAGACCAACTGAGCTGTTTTTGGAACTTCCAGCCCACTGCAAAGCGGCCTTATGGCGAACGAGCAGTGGATTTACTCATTGCGCGAAAATTGTTTGGATCGGTACTCTTCAGGGGTACCAACGGATCGCACCATTTAATGAGCTTAGGATGGGCTTGCATCTAGTTGAAAGGTGCTTGCGTTGGAAGCATGTGCTGATTAAAACAGAATGCTTTCTGTGCACAGCTGAAGAGATTCTTCCCAATTATCTGTGCAATGAGCCGAAAATCCGCATACAAGTTTCTCTCAGGTTGAGTCGAATGGAGTACTCACATCGCCTGCCAAAATGAAAGAATCCAGGCCTCTTGCAAAGAGAAGCAGCGACCAGGAGTGGTAACAGAAATCCTCGCTAATCTTTGGAGCTGTAGTCGGTCAGGGTGCGTGCCGACGCAACAACCGGCCTTAACCACAGAGCTATCTCGAGCCCATTCGCCGAATCGGGAAGGGCAGGCCAACCTCTGACATATAGCGCCGATGTGAAACAGCTCGACTGTCAAGAGTAGAGTGTACATCATAGTCCGATCTGCCCTACTTTACGGACCAAAAACGCGGAGGACCTTTAAGTGCTCTGTGTTCGACCATCAGTGCCTCCGAAGATCAGTAAAATTGACGTACGTCAGATGGTTTTCGTAAAAGACCACTCCCACTCGATCGGCCACTTGGTCACACTATACAAGTTGCGCAGAGATGGCTCAAGCGGTTAGAGCGCGAATTTACTGACCGGAAGGTCCGTGGTTCGAACCCGACCTCTGCCTCTCGACTACCACTGTCTAGGCTTGGGCAACCTGGCAGTACCCCAGCCCTCATACCTTCTTCGGGTAGCATGGCAGCTAGGCACCGATAGGATGTTACAGCTGATTGTTATTATTATTAGTAGTAGTAGTATTAGTATTACAGGTAGCTTAGCTTAGGCCATTTGCTTGGCATGTCACATGATCATTTACCTCAAGGAGCTCTTCTCGCCCAGCCTTGTGTCAGATAAAGACAGATGCGGTCCTAGTAGTAGTATTAGTATTACAGGTTATGCAGCTTAGGCCATTTGCTTGGCATGTCACATGATCATTTACCTCAAGGAGCTCTTCTCGCCCAGCCTTGTGTCAGATAAAGACAATTCAGATGCGGTCAGTCCATGACTTGGCAACGAAGCATGAAATTCCTTACCAGTCGACTGAGCTGCGTTGGTGGCTGCCGTCTCCCCGGATGGGGACCGCGGGATGAGAAAAGCCAATGATTAGTAACCCTAACACGCAGACAACTGCGGTCCAGTATCAAAACTATCACCACTGTGTAGCCTTCACTTCCTTCCATGCTGGACAAACATCGATTTGTCGTTAGCACACAAATTAAGCCGACGCCACCAATGCATGGTGTTCGTCCCCTTCCCCAGCTCCTCGATCACAAAATCGTAGCGGTTAGAACCACCAAACTTCAAAGCGCGCTCTGTAAGTTGACTGACTGACTAAGGCTATTAAGTGGATGCCGAACGCTGTCCTCGGACACAATAATCGCCACAGAATCTTATTCAGTAGGTATGCTATGGCTACTGCAGGAGCTTGGTAAGGTTTTTACGAGCTTTTTCATGTTCAAAAAGCGCAAGGGGTAATGCGTCCGAGCCGAATGCCATACCTCATTGTAGACATGAGATCCAGCGTTGCTGACACGGATCGGTATCATCATCATCATCATCATCAACGACAGCATGACATCAGTGTTCAACACCAATGCTTCACTGCCGTACAGAGTGCAGGTGACTTTTCGAAAAACTCATGTTGCTGAAGACAGACCAACTGAGCTGTTTTTGGAACTTCCAGCCCACTGCAAAGCGGCCTTATGGCGAACGAGCAGTGGATTTACTCATTGCGCGAAAATTGTTTGGATCGGTACTCTTCAGGGGTACCAACGGATCGCACCATTTAATGAGCTTAGGATGGGCTTGCATCTAGTTGAAAGGTGCTTGCGTTGGAAGCATGTGCTGATTAAAACAGAATGCTTTCTGTGCACAGCTGAAGAGATTCTTCCCAATTATCTGTGCAATGAGCCGAAAATCCGCATACAAGTTTCTCTCAGGTTGAGTCGAATGGAGTACTCACATCGCCTGCCAAAATGAAAGAATCCAGGCCTCTTGCAAAGAGAAGCAGCGACCAGGAGTGGTAACAGAAATCCTCGCTAATCTTTGGAGCTGTAGTCGGTCAGGGTGCGTGCCGACGCAACAACCACTTGATCAAGGCTTGGTGATGATGATGACGAAGGTTTGGTGAGCCAGTCAAACTAAAACAACGACAACATTGCTTAGCAGGATCTAACCCAAGTATCAATTCAACGAGCCATTGCATCACGAAGTATCAGGCAAAAACTCTAGCTTCACCCTTTGAGGGTTTAGGGTACACGGCCGGAGATACGAGGCACATCAGAAGGCGGAAGCAAGGTATGAGCATGAAAAGCCTGTCTGTTCCGAATAATCCAGCCGACAGCCTGCAACAGTGTACCCACCGCCTCGTCCTTCAATCCAGTCCCACGGTCACGTATATAGTTGCACTGCTATCCAGAAAATCAAGAGGCATCGGCAGACAGAACACCGCAGAAGACACGTGAAGACCAGGTGCTGATTCGAGGATGTCGTAAGCGCTATCTACGGTGGATGCAGGATCGGATATTACGTCAAGCACGCGACACAATTAAGATCCCAGGACTACGCCAAGCGAATCAACTTGAGACAGAGGATTGTGCTCCAAAATAAAACCACGGCGCATGGAACACCAAACAAGCGTGACACAACCCCGAAGTGGAAGGCATGGGCAGAGCCATCCGCATAGAATTCCAGATCAGCATGCTTACCTCCCCACGGACTAACCAACAAACGACAGCAGCACACAAACCAAAACAGAGGTCGAACACATGGCGTCCACAACAGGGGGGTCTCCTCAGGCGAGCCGCTCCAGATAAGTGAACATCACGTAGATAAGATGGATGTTTAGCAAACCGGTCAAGTAGCGAAAGATATGCCCTGATAGGTCAGTGTCAGTCAAGCAAGACTGGCCGTTAATACCCCGGTGCTTTTTGCCCCTTCACGAAGATTCAAGCGTGACCTCGAAGACAACCATATATATATATATAT